TAGTCTAGTTAGGCTTAAAAGATTCGTCTCGTGAATTTCGTCTAAACTGTGTAATTAGTTTTATTTTTTATTTATATTTAATGCTTCATACATGCGTCAAAGATTCGATGTGACGAGAAATCTTGAAAAATTTTGCAAAATTTTGAAAACTGACACCCTAATCCAACAAAACAACCCATAAACAGTAGGATCAGAAAAAAAAACCATATAACAAGACGAAACTGGAGGTAAATAAATATAGAAGAAAAACACTGAAAACAGAAAGTTAGCTCTGGAGGAACGCAGAAAGGTCCAAGTAGAAATTCGAAACCACCACCCGGAAACCCAGACAAAGCACGAGCCACGCACGCCCCCGCTGTCTCCCTCCCGCCGTCGCGCCCTACCGCCGCCGCCGGAGTCTCTCGCCACCGTCGCTGCTCTCCCGCCTTCACCGTGCCCAACTCCCCTCCTTGCCTCCCGCTCGCGCTTCAGCCGCTCCACTCCCCATCGCTTTCGCCTGGCCAGGTAAAGCTGCCACCTTTCCTTTCCTTTCCCTTACCATTTCCCTTCATGCGCTCAAGAGCCACGGCTCGATCCAGATCCAGGTGTCTTTTGACCGAGACCGAGCCTGCCTTACCCCTCCGGTCGGATTCTTCGCCGTCTTCGTCCCCACTGGGCGCCGCTGGGGTGGAGCGGAGATCGGATCCGCCAGGGGCTGAGTAGCTGGTTCCTTCCCTAGCAGGTGAGGACGCCGTTGCTTTCTTGGACGGACTGCTCGTATTATTCTGCAAATCTCAGCTTTGCCGTGAGCGCTGAAACCAAATGTTTCTTTCTCTGCGTCCAGTCTAGTTTGATGCGGATTCATTTGCTGACCGGCATAGCATGATCCTGCGGTGATTGCGGATAGCTTGTGCAAGCTGGTGGCTTGGGATTTTTTTTATCTGGTCTAAAGAAACCCTGAGACAGTAGCGACATGGATGCGAGTGCGGAGGTTACTGATGCTATTGGTGCAATGGGCATTGACAATGGGGCCAAGGGGAAGTTGCCGCCCAGTGATAGTGTAGAGGGCCACGCAGAAGAGCACGACGTGCTGGCTGATGGAGCGCATTCGGGCGAGAGCGAGGTGATCAACCCATGTGAAGAAGTGGAAATGGAAGCCACCTCGCAATCCCAGGACATAAAGCCCCGAGTTCCTGAGGTAAGGTTTTTCACGTTTACAGATTGTCAGTTCTGGTGACTTTAATCAGTGGGCTACTGACAGTCACATGTTTTCTGGCATTTTCTTGTGTTCTAGGGGGTTCAAGGCCATTCACCGAAGGTTGTTACTAAGTCTCAGCGACAGAGCCCTCAAGGCAGGGATAAGAGTCAAGCTAGGAAAAGCTCTCCCAGTCCTTCTTATCCTAAGGCGCCCATTGCACGGGTTTCTGATCCAGATCTAGTTGATAGCTCTTTGAGCAATGGTGATGCTGGTGCCAGTAAGAAAGTAAGTTAATTTTTTGTTATAGCTTATGAGTTACGATGTGCCCATCTATATGTTTATAGCGCTTATATTGCTACTATATTACTCGTAGGTATGTTTATGTGCTTTGCAGTTTGAAGTTTGAACCTTATACATTTTTGTTGTTGGTGCTTTCATTAGAAGGCCGAAAAGAGGAGTTTCCGCCCAGTTGCCAAGGAGAGCCCATCACTTGAGGACTCAAAGTAAGCTGTTTGTTTCTTTGTTTTGCACTTTGTGATTCTGTGTTGCTTCATGGTTTCTGTTTCTCATTTGGATCCTGGACTCAAAATTGGTGCTCTAAGCATCCAATTAAGCCAGGCCTACTAATTACTCAGATGGTAATGAACTGATCCTAGCTCAGTTGGTTGTTGGTGTGGACGTACGCCCAGACCACCTAAGTCAAGTCCTTGTCAGGGCGAATTTCGGTGCTTATTTCTTAATTAAAAGAGAACTAGTTCCTTCTAGGTTAGTTGAGCTTTTATTACCTAGATTGCCTTGAGTGTGACAATGCTATGAATTATTGGTACAACGATGTTTGCTACATTTTTTTTTGGTAGCATAAGAGTATAGCATAATTTAATGATTTTTTTAAAGTGCCTGTTCCGTCAAATATGCGAAGCCCCTCATCTTATTTATTTGAACACTTATTGTTGTTTGTGCCACAAACATTTTATAGTTACACAGTACTTTTTTAAAAATTGTTCTTGCTTTGGCATTTACCATTTTGGAATTACTACTGTTTGCTTTGACTTCCATCTTGTGATAATTGAAACTGCGCTGTGAACCGAGTCTTAGCATTAGTTTCTACACAATTTTCTTGCAACATATATATATATGTTTCCATACAAGTCATACCCTAAATACTTTTTTCTCCGTAATTTTATTCTCTTACCTAGCGCACTTAAATATAAAAGACTTTCTTGCAATATCATGTGCTTCATTCCAATCCAGAGAGAAGAAGAAAACTCAGAAGGCATCAAACCAACATTCTGTCAAAAAGGATATTGAAGAAGAATCAAATGAAAGTGTGAAACCTCAAAGGGTTGGCAGCACTCCTTCATATGGATTTAGTTTTAAGTGTGATGAGAGAGCTGAAAAAAGAAGAGAGGTAACTCATTGTAGATAACTTAGCACTGGTTTTAGTTTAATAACATACACCATTCCTTTGCTTACACTATTCTGCAATTATATAGTTCTACTCAAAGCTCGAGGAGAAGATTCATGCACAGGAACTGGAGAAAAGCAACTTGCAGGCAAAATCAAAGGTTTGTGCCCTTATTCTATTTTCATATTACTACGGAAGTGATATTGCTTGATGCGACATTGAATGTAATGTTGACTTTATCCATTTGTTACTGCTGTGCAGGAAACTGAAGAAGCTGAACTCAAAATGCTGAGAAAGAGTTTAAATTTCAAGGCAACACCAATGCCTGGTTTTTATAAGGAACCACCTCCCCCCAAGGTTGAGTTGAAGAAGGTAATTGTCCCCCGTACTTATGGCTTAGTTTCTTCTTCCTATTTTCCCTCCATTGAATTGTTGGCTGTAGATATATGCTAAGGGCCTGTTCGCTTGAACTTATCAGCCGGCTTATCAGCTAGAATCTACAGTATTTTTCTCTCACAACAAAACAGCTTCAGCCGGCTTATCAGCCGGCTTTAATACCAGCCGAACAAATCATATCTCAGTTTACTGCTAAAGAGAAAAAAATTATCGGCATTACAATTCAGCTTGAAAAGATTATATTAATCAAATAATCATCCTTCAAGTTTCTGCCTGTTAAGTGTTAACATGACTTATAGAAATGCAATAGTTCTTTAATTCAGTTTACCATCATGTTGAACTGAAAACCTTAATCTTGGTATAATATTCTTTAACAAGCTAATAAAGGAGCTTTTCTTTCTTTGTAGCTACAAAGTTTTACTCTATTGAGTAGTACATGTACAGCGAATGAGCTTTGCAGTCTTGTACTCAAATATAACATATCATATTTTGTAATAGCTAAATCCAATTACAGTCTTTTGCCTATACAATGTTTAAGATTTATCATGCCCTTTGCACACCTGAAATTTCTGTAATTGTTCAGTTGTAAACGTGATTCTTAATTGATAGCTTAATAGATAAAATGAACGATTACCCCAATGATCATGTTATTCTTTTCTTTAGTTGGGCCATTTGTTGTATTGTTAGGTTTGTAACCTAATTAATAGTTATATGTTAAATTCATTGCAAGTCCATAATCCATATTTTTCTGGAGTTAGCAGCTATTTGAATAAGAAAACAAAAAATTACAAGGCTCCAAAAGTTTAGTTTGGTCTTGTTTTCACTGGATTGTTGCTTTTGAATTTCCAATAACAGCTATGTCACACTTAAAATTTTCTTAGCCAGCTTGCCACTAGGTATAAAGGTATGGCTCTATCCTAACTTCTGAAGGATGGTATATTATTTTCTGTTGATCTTAGATCCCTACAACAAGAGCTAGATCACCAAAGCTCGGTCGCTCCAAGAACACATCCTCAGGCAGCACAGAAAGAAATTCAAATCCTCAAGCTCGTTCAGCTCGACCGAGTCTTGATGAAAGGGTCTCCCAAAATGGTGTCAAGAAAGCGCCCGCTGCAAATGCAGTGAAGAAGCCCCAACGGAAATCTCTCCCTAAACTGCCTTCAGAGCAAACAACCAAAGTTGACATTGCAGCATCTGTTCCATCTGCAGAAGAGCTAGAAAACAAGTCATCGTCGACGGGTCTTGTCCGAGAGCCAATCCGCGCTCGAGTTACACCTGATGAACCTGGATTCAGTGCGTAGGAACCTATCAAGCCGACTCCTATGAAAGGAGAGTTGTGCCTCAGCTTCCGTTATCACATTTTGCTATTTCTGCAGTAAACTGCTGGCTGGTATTATATGTACTAAAAGTCTAAAATTAGTCTCATCACCAGGAGTTTGAAGAATGGCAGTGACCCCGTGTATCGTTTATCGTAGTTTCTGTTGACATATGAGGTATTTGTAGTTGGCAAAATTTCTTTTTATCATGTCCAATCTCCAGGGCTCCGAGTCAATTTCCTTGCCGTCCTAGTACAAATCTGAACACGATTTCGCAAAGCTGTGATTCGGTGCATTAGTTATTGCAGTTTGATTTCTGCTCTTCTTGGAAGATGCTCTATTCTGATGAAGCAGCAGGAAGGAATTTGACCTTTATTTCACAAGGGATACTGCATTACTAGTACTGATACACAAGTGACCAAGAACATTCTGCATGTACAAGATCTGCAGGGTCTCAATCTACATGTCTACTATACATAGCCCTGCAAATTCTTCAGGTGCCAAACCTTAAGAGGCTTACGCGTTTGTGCTCCACCAGATTCAGTTTTACATACGCCGTGATTCAGTTCACAAGCGGCGAGGAGCCGGCCGGCGATGTCAGTGACTCGTAGGGGGCTGCTCTGGTTTCTCGCATGGTGCTCTTCAGAGTTCCAGATTCAGCTTCGTTCACAGGCGGTGGTGAGATCTAGACCGAGTTCATGTTCATCTAAGAGGCCGCTGTGATGGAAGGATGCTGAACCGCCCCCTGGAACAGCGAAGGCGGTGGCAAGGTCCCCGAGTTGTCACTCTCTTCGTCGTCCTCCTCGGCGTCCCACAGGAACCCGGCGTAGGAGCCCAGGATGTAGCTGCAGCAGAAGAGCAATGTTGTCAGTGTGGTCTGAATAGAGTGTACTGAGAGGTGGGAGACTCTGGGTCTGGGAGAGGCGCGGTGATGGCACTGAGCCACTGACCAGTCGTCGGGCGCGGCCTGGACGGCGCGGCTGTAGTAGTCCTCGGCGCGGCCAGCGTCGCGGCTGGTCTCCCAAACGAGGCCCGCGTAGAGCGACAGTGCCTCGGCGTCGCCGGGGCTGGCGCGCTCGCAGTACTCCATCGCCCTCGCGGCGTCCCCCTCCACCTCCTTGAGGAACCTGGCGTAGTTGACCAGCAGCAGCGAGTTGCCCGGGTCCGCCTCGATCATCTGCCGGTAGTGCGTGTCCGTGGCGGCGTGGTTGCTGCCACCGTCGCCACCGCCGCCGTCCCCGACCCCACCCTGGCCACCGCTGCTGCCGAGAGCCTTCCTGTTCCCGCCCCCGCTGCTGCCCCCGACGCCCTGCTCCACGAGCGCCAGCGCCTCTCGCCCCTCGGCCGCGGACACGTCCAGCCCCGTGCTCGTCAGAAGCCGCCGCAGCGGCAGCGGGACGTCCGCGCCTCCTGCCCCCGCGACGACCACGACCACGGTCTCCTCATCCTCGTCCTCCTCACCCTCGCGGTCGTCCTCCTCGAGGGAGATGGAGGCGGACGAGGACGAGGACGCCGACAGCCTCGGCGCCCTCCCGTGTCCCTCGTGGTCCTTCTTGGGGACGAGCGGCGCCGCGAGGTCCCCCTCGGACATGGCGCGGCACAGCACCGCCCCCTGCCTCGGCGCCGCCACCGCCGGTGACAGCAACGACGTCGTAACCACCGCGAGGTGCTCCACCGACGCCGCAGACGGCGCACGTACGCAGTTGAGCAGCTGTGACGACGCGCTCCGCAGCAGCATCACGACAGACGCCACTCGTCCTCAGGCTGTCGGCCCCCTCTCTCGCAAATATCGCGAGCGGCAGCGTGCCACTGACACGCCGCGGGGCCGCGAATATTTATGCGCCCGCACGGCGCGAGCACGTGACGGCGTCCTCCGTGGCACGCGCTGAGTGGCCGCGGTGGGTTCCACGTTGGCTCGCCGGCCGTCGCCTTGGGAGGTGGGACCCGTTGGTGGAGGGGCGGGCCCGAGAGCGGACGGACGAGACGAGCTGCGGGCTACGCGACGGAGCGACGCGACGGCGGTTAGACGAGTGATGATGATTTGCCTTTCATCGTGTTACGCTGAAATTTAGTACGGTTCGGTAGCTGAAAAATAGCTTAAGCCAACATGGTCTCTGTCTACCTGTTGAAGTGCTGATTGGCCGCCGCCGCAAGGTTTTACATGCTTGGCTGCCATGAGCGGACAGCAACCAGGGCGGTCTACGGCGGCTGAGGGACAGAGCTGTGTGGAGCTCACGCCACGGTGTATGCGTCAAGTTGTGTGTGGAAATGGGATGGTTCTAGAGGTGGACAAATTCAAAGATATGATGGGGCTCAAGATCTACCTTATTTGGGATGTAAGGTTGCCCGGCGCTGCTATTGTATCATCTATTTTGAAACGGTAACATCGACGTCCCATTAGATCTGAGCATTTTGTGATTTGAATCGATAAAAAACCAAATTTTTCGGACGCTATTTTTTTTGATTACATAGTATAACGTAGACACTCTAACACACGCACACTCACCCCTACAAACGTACGCACGTAAACCCTATCCCTAGAGCATGACGAAGTCACTACAGACGCCTCGTGTCGACGGGAACGCCGCCTCAACGCCGTTAAATCTTGGAATATTTGTCGACGGGAACATCGCCTCAACGCCGTTAAATTCTAGAATATTTGTTGACGGAAATATCGCCTCAACGCCGTTAAATCCTAGAATAGTCGCTCGTACGTGGATTCAAATCCAGAACCTCAGGTGCTACTTATGCTCTTGTGACCACTGAGCTACTAAACTACATGTCCTTTCGCTTCAGACGTGCAGCACATGTCAACACAAATTACTATATCAAAACCAAAGGATCAGGCCAAGCCGAGCTAGACTAGTCAAATGGACTACAACTTGCCAACTAAAGGACCAAGAGGATTTGGGTATCTAGAATTTGGGTTCACAAAACAAATTTCTCTTGTCCAAATGTCCTATTAAACTTAGTACTTCCTCCATTCCAAAGTATAAATCGTTCGGGTCCTTTTAGATATATAGTTTTTACTATACATCTAGATATAAAATATATCTAGACGCATAGCAAAAGAGCTAAAATAACTTATAATTTAAAACGGATGGAGTAGCGAATACAGGGTTGTCAGAAGTTAACAAGAAATAAATATATTAAAAACAAGCCGTTGTCCAGTGCAAATAAAAAGCCAGCGGATTCCCATTTTTGGATTGGTCTCATGACTTTTGGATGGGTCTCATGGAGATGAAGACCACTTTCCGTGCTTGGCAAGATTTAATTTGAAAGGTGGCTCCCAAATTAGTTTCCAAGATAATATCTGGGTTCACACGGGCCAAACTTGTATAACATTGTTACTTGTTAACAAGAAACATGCTATTATTCGAAAAAAAAAAAACATGCTATTGAGGCTGATGTCGTTAGCACAAGCTGCTAAATTTTAGAAGAATTTTCGTGGAAAATATATTCTAATGATAGCATAATCTGGTTGCACTCATAGCGAATATTACCTTATTACAAGCTGGTAGTGACATAATAATTTATTCTTTGATTAACAATGGTACCTTCATAATCAAGTCTTTGTATTGTGTCTTAGTCAGTAACGATATTATGGTCAGAGTTATCTTTAAAACTAAGGTTTTATTTTGGTTCCTAAAGGAAGAGGATAATCCTTACTAAAGATAACCTAGTTAGAAGATACTGGAATGGTAATAAATTATGCTTCTTATGTAATAATTTTGAAACCATTCATCACCTATTCTGTGAATGTTATCATGCTAGATTTCTGTGGTGTGCTTCACATGTTGTATCGGTGCAATGCCTCCTTTGAGTGTGAATAATATATTCAATATGGATGGCATAAATAGGAAGGCAGTAATACAATTCACTACTACGTACTAATTGGTGTTGCAGCTTTTTGTTGATCCATGACAATTTTTTTTGATAAATCTCAATCTAAAATGTATTTGCAGGTTATTCTTAGGGGACTCATTGACTATGCTTTTGGGCCTAATTACAACGAAGATATGAGAGAGAAGTCTGCATCATAGAGACTTGTCACAAGGTAGAGTCTTCAATGACGACCTTCTTTGTCTCCCATGGATGGTCTCATATTTTTTATGCTTGGTTTTTAATGAATTGTGTATGAGAACTGTGTTTGACTTTTTGTGTGATGAAATTTATAATAAATGTCATCTGATTCTTAGTGTGTTGAAATTTATAATAAGTTTTGTCTGATTCGTTAGTGAGGAGACGAAGCCGGATGTTACTTTCCATTATCTAAAAACAAATTGTGTTGCGGAGGATCATAATATCGGACTCCTATAGGATGTTACTACACATAAGATTTGTAACATGATATAAGAGTTAAATGCACCGGAGATCCATTAACTTATGAGGAGGTTTCAGTTAGGTCCATCAACTTTTATAGTGCCTTTTTGGTCCATAAACTTTGTATGCCGTATCACTTAGGTCCATATCTCTCCATGGGCTTTTTATGCTGATATGGCTGCTGACTTGGACCCTTCATTTCGTCAAACATGTCGTGGGCGCACGGCAGTGTGTCATTGCCGCCACACCACGGGCGTCTTGCGACGGCGGCCGCCCGTCTTTGGTGCGATCCACGCACGCCACGCGAGCACCCGAAGTTCGCGCCGGCAGCCACGTTGGGGTTGGTCGATCGGCGGGGGCCATGAGGCCCGGCAAGGGAGGGCGGCCACTCGTCGCGATCTTCGATGCCTCAGTCACCTGCGTCGACGTCGACCGCCCGAGCATCCGCACTCCGCTGCCGTGGGTTTGCTGGCGGCGGCGGCCACGACGCGCGGTGCTGAACCGGCATCACGCACGGGCGCCGCCATCCTCCTCATGGGAATCCCCGCGCACTCGAGTCCGGCTCCGACGCGGCGTCCATCGAGCCCGCATGCGCTCGAGCCCCTGCTCCGGGTTCGTACGCGGCACTCTGCTCACGCACGACGCGGTCGCCGAGGCTGCCCGGTTCGGCTGGATCAGTGTCGTTCGCCGGAAGCACGTGGTGGAGCCGAGGAACCCGAGAGGCCTACTTTCAGCCCAGCGCCCGATAATAAGCGGCGTCAAAAGGCGAGGGGGTGACTATAAGGGAAAGGCGTGGCGAGGCCGGCAAGGACCCGAGGCGCGTCTTGCCGGGAGTATGAAGAATCGCGGCTGCGGATCGACGCTCTGCAAGCCGGAGACTTGCGGCGCCAGCCAGCCAGGCGGCAACGTCGCCACCGGCCGATGGAAGCTGCTTTGGCGGCGTGGCACCGCGGAAGATCATGCCGGAGCTGTTGAATTGGTACTCGATACTCCGGTAGCACGCCACAACTTGGCGTCGAAACCACCGTCGGTGGTGTCGCAATCTTCGGACCTCGGCTCCGTCGATATGCGGGTTCCGGCGCTTCGTGTACATGTCTTGGGGAGAGCGGCGCGACGCGTGCACCACAACAAGGCGGCGCCATGAACGCTACCGCTTTCGCTCTCGCCGTGTTCTCCAACGCGCCCTTCATCGTCAACCTTGATGCGACCACTACGTGAACAACTCGCGAGCTCTCCGCGCGGCGTCGCCACATGCTTTCGGCGGCGAAGCGGCGACGTGGCGTTCGTCCGATTCCCCATAGCGCTTCGGCGGCGTCGACCCGCGCGACCGCTATCGCGAACCACAACCGCGTCTTCTTCGACTGCACTGAACCCGCCTCGACGGCCTTCAGGGACCCATCTACGTGGGCACCGGCTGCATGTTTCGCCGTGCGGCGCTATACGGCGTCGACCCACCGCTCTGGAGACCACACGGCGACGACGCTGGCAAGGGCGTTGCCACTGGCACTGAGGCCGACAAGTTGGGCGTGTACAACACCGTGACAGAGGACGTGGCCACGAGCTTCTGCATGCACCGGCGAGGGTGGCGCTCCGCTCATGGTGAACACCATGACGCGCTCCTCGCCGCAGCACGAGGAGAGCCCGTCCATGAAGCTGAGCACACGCGCAGTCCTCGCCGCTGCCGTCTCGCCGTCGCCGTTGCCGCTGCCACCGCGCAGGTAGCAGTCAAGGTCCTCCACGAGGATTAGCGACCGCGGGGTGGTGTCCAGAAGCAGGGCGCGGAGGTCGTCGCAGTGGTAGTACGCGCAACCCTTGAGGAAGCTCTCTAGGTCGGCGCGGACTCGGGCCTTGAGGTCCGGGTCCATGGCCACCGTGTCGAGCGTGGCCGGGTGGGTGAAGGGCGTGGACGTCCACCGCGGCGCGCAATCGCCGGTGGTGTTGGCGTAGAGCCGCAGCTCACGGCGGCGCTCCTCCATCTCGTCGGCGACGGACTCGAGGTGCTGCAGGTAGGGCCGCAGCACGCGTGTGCGGTCGTGGCGGAGCACGCGCAGCACGAGGCGGCCGACAACAGCACGCAGGCGGCGTCCGTGTCCTCGAGCAACGGCAGCGACACCACGGACGCCGCCGCCTTCCGGAACAGCGGGTTCTCCGCGCTGCCGCCATCCCCGGCGAGGCGCGGCACCCCGTAGTACTGGTACGCCTGCGCCCACTCGTCCGCTCACCGCTTCGAGCGCTCCGTACCTCGCCCGCGTGCCCACGTGCCCGCGGCGGGCCTGTTTGCGCTCCCGCAGCGGCGGCGGCGGCGGCACCTGCCCGCGCGCCCACGACATGTTTGACGAAATGGACCAAGTCAGCAGCCACATCAGCATAAAAAGTCCATGTGGGGAGATATGGACCTAAGTGATACGGCATACA